AATTCAAAGGATCAGATGTCAAGTTGATCAAGGTTTCATTTTTTACTCATTTTCTAAAAAATTTGAAGAACAAATTTGAGAAATTTGAAAAAAAAAATTGAAAATTTGAGAAATCTAAAAAATCATTTTCTAAAAAATCTGAGAAATTTAGTGCTATAAATCATAGTAGAAATACATTATCATGAAACAGTAGAATAGAAGGATTGGACTTAAGTGTCATATGTAAAAAGACATTTTACAGTGCAGTCTGTCTGTGTTTCATCCCTTAGCTGTAAACACTGACCGAACTGTATGCATGCGAGTAGTAGCGGGAATCATCATTACATCCTCCTGATAATTGTATCATAAATTTGGCCAAGTAAAAATTTTGTTCGATTGCCTTTTTGTAACGATCGGAAGATTTGCGCGGCCCTAGGTGTAGAGCTGCGGAGAGCACACACCTAGAATTATAAGCAATCCATTATTAGTGAAAAAGCATAGAACCAAAAAATCAGAAAAGCAAATCGCGAATAAACTCGGCAGCAACTCCAAGCTGCCACCGCACAACCTAAGTAGCTCAACAAAAGAACCCACATTTTTAATTTTCAATCACTATATTACATATCACGGAAGGGGAGCTCGAGTTAGGAGACGGGACATTTGCATACAACTTGGAGCTGAAAGGCAACTGGGCAAGGTATAACCCACATTTCATTTCTAATCACCACTTTATATATCACGGAAGGGGAACTCGAGTTAAGAGACGGGACATTTGCATACACTTGGAACCAAAGGGCAACTGGGCAAAGTGAAGGGGTTTAGCTACCATTTTCGTTTCCTTGCTGCTAGCACCTTCATTTTGCAACACCTTATATACTTTGATTTCCCGAGACTCCTATCCCATGGACTTTGCTTTTTATTTTTTGCATTTCACCATCTCCTCGGCGATTTCGCTGTCCGCACCGAACTTCACAGTCATCATTTACGCAACACACAGCGGCTAGTCAGGAAAAAAGCCCGATACCACAAATAAGCCG